TAGATAGATAGATAGATAGATAGATAGATAGATAGATAGATAGATAGGTAGGTAGATGGATAGTTATCAGAGATTATTAAGAAAGAACTTACCATAACTCGGCTCACACTTTACTTTCTGCAAAGAAATATCGGAAAGAGACTTAGATGTAATGTCATATCCATGTGACTTTAAACTGGATAACAAACACGGAACCTTACAATTTCATGTGAGTCCACCTGAACCGCAACAGAGCAAATAAAACCCAGGGAGAAACGCCACATGGTCGGCATCTGTCTCATCAGAAGTTGAGAAGAAAGTAATTCAATTCTTCCTGTGTGAGTAAAACGGATTTTAACAGAATCCAGTGGAACTCTGGCAAACAAGCGGCTCTATATAGCAGCTGCAAAACCCCGCCCACACCAGATAAGGTTTCCTGTGTCTGGTAACGTTTTCCAGTGACGTTTCTTGAGAAAAAATAGGTAAGGGCTTAATTCCGCCGCTTATTTGTATAAAGTGTTGTATGTATTAATTTGTGTCTACTTTACATAATTTCTGAACTAGTTCGGCTTCGATTATATGTAGTTTTCGTGGTTATATTAAGACATTTCCCTGCCAATATGTCCTCTTTTAAGTTCAGAAACGTCGGTCAGAGCTAACGGGGAGTTAGCGGTGAAACAGTCAATTTATGCAAAAGCATATTGTTTCCAAAACAAGTCTCGGGTACTGTCGCCAACCACTCAACCCCTCCATACGTTTCTGTTTTCTTTTATACGTCTTTAATAGCGTATTAAACATGTTTTAAAAAAACATATCCCAGGCGTGCAGAACCGGGTCCAGAAACGCCGCCGTACCGAACTTTTTGCTGTAAAATTGGCCTCCGGTCGTCAACATTTAATGCTCAACTCCCTGCTAAGTAGTTTAAACGTTAGCACCGACGGTTATTTTTCTTATATACTTTCAACCATACTTGTTAGTTTTACACTGTGTTTAGTTTAATGTAAAACCAGAAGAGGTCATGAGAAATGACTGCTCTGACCTCATTACTGTGCCATAGCAGTAGTGAGTCAGTCACCAGGACAAGGTCAGCTTCCCTCTAGTAAACAGCTCTCCCAAACGAGGGACCTTTCACTGAACCATTTCTGTTCATATATTACAGTGGCTATAGAATGAAAATCTGGAGTTGTCTGAACATCATTATTAATCTTTAACAATACCAGCTCTTACAGTGAATGTTCCTTATAATTGCATACTGACATTTCAAAAGTGACTTTACAGAAACAAAATGAAACTAACCCACTTTTCCCTACAATAATCAGACCTGCCTTACTTTGTATTTGGATTAAATATTGACAAGACTGCATATTTTATAGCAGGTCTGACATGCAGACATTGTGCGCAGTGTGTGCACAAAAAGGAACTTGTTCCTGCAGACAAATGTTATTATTACTCTTTGAAGCTGGCTTTTTCTTATCTTTAGCTCTTATTAGACCGAATAAGACTGCTACGGTTGTTGTTTTACTCGGCAAACCTAATAGGCTTAAAGAAAAGCGCATCTGGAATTGTCTGAAGCGTGCACATGCGGAACAAAGAAATTGTTACAAAACCATAACTCATCTTAACTCATCAGAACAAAGAATGGTGCAGTCATCTGTTTTCTTTAAAGCTTCTTCTCTGTGTCTCTGAGCTTGCATGTCACAATACACAAATATTTGTTTAACTGTAAGATTTGAGCGTTTTAGTCCCTTTCCCACTCATGCTGTTGTGATTTTTCAGTGAATCTGGACAGTCTTGCCAGGATGCTGCCTTTAGCCAAGCTTGGCCAAACTGGAGCCCACAGAGCTGTGAGGAGGACTTTGGGGACTTCTGCGAGGGCTCGGAGAGGCATCTCTACCTGTTTGACCAAATGTTACTTCGTCCCCAAGACGAGACAGATGGGCCCTTTAATTTCCGGCTGCTCCTCAAGCCACTACAGATACCTCAGCGCCTCTGCCTCTCATATGAACCAGAAAACTCCGTCCTACAGCTACGTTATTGTTGGGGCAGGATCAGCAGGCTGCGTCCTCAGCAACCGCCTCACGGAGGATGCCCATGAGTCTGTGCTGCTGCTGGAGGCTGGGCCCAAGGACATGTGGTTTGGCAATGAAAGACTGTCGTGGAAGATCCACATGCCAGCTGCGCTGACCTACAACCTCTGTGATAACAAGTACAGTAATGACATTTTAAAGCACTTTCTATTACGTCTGAACAAGGAAATCAGCCGCGTCTCACTCTCACCTGTCACATTTACTTATTCTTCAGGTATAATTGGTTCTACCACACGTTACCTCAGGCTCACATGGACAACCGAGTGATGTACTGGCCAAGGGGCCGCGTTTGGGGCGGGTCTTCCTCGCTTAATGCCATGGTTTACATCCGTGGGCATGCTGAAGACTACAACCGCTGGCAGAGGGAGGGCGCCGAGGGCTGGGACTACGACCACTGCCTGCCCTACTTCAGGAAAGCTCAGTGCCACGAGCTGGGAGAAAATAGGTAACTTCCAGAATTTTTCACACCCATTACTGTTTCAAAATTTTCCCTCGAAATGCATTCATGAGTCATATGGGAACTTCTTCAGGGTTTCAATTCCCTGGCTACCATTTACTATTTTGCATCTAGAAAAACCTGGGAACTCAGGAGTCACACGTAAATGATGTCCGTCAGTGCTTTGCAAACAAATGCTTTCCCAGAATTGCCTCAGGGAAGGAAACGTCATGAGGGAAGTGGGCTGTTGTTACTGACATTTCCAATTTGAATAGGAAATCTGCTTACCATTCATGACTGTCATTCATGAGTCATCATAGTTCTGAATCTACCTAGTCAGCGCATCTGTGCCGGCATGTTTGAATCTGTGATTTTTTTTCTTTTGCGGGTTTGGGCATAGGAATGCATTCGCACTTTCCTGTGTGGATACAGCTGCCTTCCGACCTACTTGGAGTGGTCTCTGTTACCGATGGTTCTCTGCCCACCCCCCACCCCTCAAACAGAGCCTATAGGGTGCCGTCTGTTCAGGTGCTTGTCAGGTTTTGCTTTAGTTTCAGGCAAGGCAAGATAAGGCAAGTTTATTTTATAGCACATTTCATGAACAAGACAATTCAAAGTGCTTCACAAAGAATTTAAAAGCAAAAAAACAAGAAAAGAAAAATAATAAAAATTATATAGATAAAAAAATAAGGGGTGCAAATAAAATACATTGTCAGAGTTGAGGTCTGTCTCACATCTTCAGGAAGACTGTTCCAGATTTTAGGAATATGGAACTGAAATGAAGCTTCACCTTGTTTAGTTCTGCCTGTGGGCACCATTAGAACCAGCTTGGTTCTCAAAGTCCAAGCTGGTTCATATGGCTCTAACATGTCAGAGAGGTATTTCGGTGCTTGCCCATGAAGAGACTTGTACACAAGCAGAGCTGTTTTAAAGTCTATTCTCTTAGTGACAGGAAGCCATTGGAGAGACCTTAGCACTGGAATGATTGTGTATTTATCTGCTGTATCATCATACCACCTCTTGCTTTGAATATGTTCAGGCAGGTTCAGCATTTGTTGCATAATTGTAGAGTGTTTAACCATCAGGGGACGGTGTGCCCAGCGTACAGGACGGGAGTAGAATTAAAAAAGGAGAATCCTTACTGTTTTGCAGGTATAGGGGTGGCAGCGGACCTCTTCATGTGTCCAGAGGAAAAACCAAGCATCCCCTTCACAAGGCTTTCATTGAGGCAGGGCAGCAGGCTGGATACCCTTTCACTGATGACATGAACGGATACCAGCAGGAAGGCGTGGGCTGGATGGACATGACTATTCATAAGGGTTAGTGAAAGAAGAACCTTGATCTTTTTGATAAAGATATATGGCATTTGGCGTGAATTGAATCCAAAGGGCCAGAACCACAAAGAGCATATCCCTATTGATCTTTTATGAGTTCATCATTACCCAAATCTGTTCAGGGAAGAGGTGGAGCACCGCCAGCGCCTACCTGAGACCTGCCCTGACTCGACCCAATCTGAGGACCGAGGTCCGCTGCTTGACCACCAAGATCTTGTTTGATGGCAGTCGAGCTGTTGGAGTGGAATACACGCAAAATGGACAGACAAAGAAAGTAAGATTTTCAAATACTGCAAAAATCGTTTTTAGATCAAATTGGGAATAAAAACTGATCTGAAAATGTGGCTGTATACTTTTTGATCAGTATACTTGCTCAGTTTTACTGTGTTGGTTTGATTTGATAAAAAAAAAACGCTTTTACTCGGTTGTCCTTTTCTAGAAACTCTGAATCTCACTCAGGTTTTTCTGTCCTGTGTTCAGGTGTTTGCTGAAAAAGAAGTGATACTGAGCGGAGGAGCCATTAATTCCCCTCAGCTGCTCATGCTGTCAGGGGTGGGGAACGCAGACGACCTGAGAGAGCTCAGCATCCCCGTCGTTCAGCATCTGCCAGGTGCATTGCGTTGATCTACCTCTTAACATGGTCGCTAAAGCCAACTGTTCATAAAGAATGACTCTACCTCTCTGAACTTCTGTTCACCCTTTGTCCAAGCTGAGTTGTGATGGCTCTCTGTGTCTACCTGTCCTCTGCAGGTGTTGGCAGCAATCTCCAGGATCATTTGGAGCTGTATGTCCAGCAGCAGTGCACTCAGCCCATCACCCTGTACAAGGCGCAGAAACCGTTCCACATGATCAAGATAGGCCTGGAGTGGCTCAGTCTGTTCACTGGTAACCACTGTCACCAGATTCATTCATTCATTTATTCATTCAGTTGCACACATAACCTGATATGATTTATATTCCCAAACTCATCCTCCTCTAAGATTCCCCTACCTGACTGCTTTTGAAATATCGATTTGAAGTGTTTGATGTCTTTATGTGGAAGGAAAGGTGGTTTGAGCCGGTGGGCAGAGCTGCTCTGTGTGCAGCTGTCACTGTGTTAGTGAGGGACTGGTGCTTCAGTTGGATGGGGCAGCTTGTCTTTGTTCCCCATCATTTCATGAATATGTGACAACAAAGCCGCTATTCTTTTGTTTGATTGTTTATTATTGGAAAGATTAGCACATCTGAAATGTTGAATGTTTTCCCCAGAGCGGATTTGTTGCCGATCATTGGGCCATAACTGTTATAAACAACAAGCTCAGACGTCGATCTAAATTATAGTCTTCATAATGATGAATCTGTATCTCTTCACCTCAGTCGCCTTGATTATGATCACCCAGGGTATGGAGCAACAGCCCATTTGGAGAGTGGAGGGTTCATACGCAGCCGGGCAAAGGTTACACACCCTGATATTCAGTTTCACTTTCTGCCATCACAAGTGATCGACCATGGACGTGTTGCTTCAAAGATAGAGGCTTATCAGGTGTGTTTAATAGCCATTACAAGCCATTTTCCTTCCATGGAAACCTCCTCCTGAAAAAATACACTGACAAATTGCCTCTTAGCCTCTTCCAGAGAAGTGAACCAGCAATTGGCTGACAAGAATTCTTTGTTAAGCTTCAGGCTTTTTTACACGCCCTTAGCCTACAAAGTGAACAAGAAGCTACCATGTAATGATACTGGAAATGTAAATTTAACAGAGGAGTGGCATCTAAATTAATTCCCCCAACAGATGATGAAAGCTGATGTTTTTTGGCACAGGTTCATGTTGGACCCATGAGAAGCTCTAGTATTGGCTGGATGAAGCTCAAGAGCAATAGCCCACTGGATCACCCTCTTCTTCAGCCTAACTATCTCTCCACCGGTAAGATCCAGCACGTCTCTCAGCGGTGTGGGAAAACTGGAGTGAAAACAATGGACTCTGTGTGGAACCTCACTTGTTTTCACCAGATTCTGCCCCGGGCAAAGTCTGATTTTCATTTATCTCGCTCCTGCAGATGTCGACGTGTGGGAGTTCAGGGAGTGCGTCAAACTCTCCAGAGAGATTTTTGCTCAGAAGGCTTTCGATCCGTTTAGGGGTCCGGAAGTTCAGCCCGGCCCTGGCGTCCAGTCCGATGCAGAGATCGATGCTTTTGTGCGTCAGAAAGCGGACAGCGCCTACCACCCGTCCTGCACCTGCAAGATGGGCTCTCCCTCAGACCCGATGGCGGTGGTGGACTCGAACACGCGCGTGCTGGGCCTGGAGCGCCTGCGCGTGGTGGATGCCTCCATCATGCCCAGCGTGGTCAGTGGGAACCTGAACGCACCAACCATCATGATAGCGGAGAAGGCTGCCGACATCATCAGAGGCCGTCCTCCTCTTGTGGACCCCGCGGTTCCCGTGTACCAGCCTCCAACTCTCGATGCTCAGAGGTGAACAGAGAGACAGCTTAGGGCGAGCTCAGACCGTTCAGATGTTTGTCAGAGTTCTGCCCACCGTTAGATGGCGAGAGCTGCAGAGAATGACTGACTCTGTCTTTGAATGGGAAGCTATCGCTTAATCTCTCATATGCTAATGCAGTTTGTTAATTACACGATTTAAAATTTTTCAGCACACCAAAACAATGTAGCATGGGATCGATTTGTTATTTGATAAAGCTCCGTCACTAGAGATTATTAGATATGAATTACTTATTGCTTTTGCCTTTACTTACTGAGCCACACAAAAACATCCCTCCATCTCATGTTTTTAAATAGACAGTTAGATGGTAGGTTCATTTTTTTTGCCAATTGCATATTAATATAGTGCCTTATTGAACAGAAACAGTCCATCAATTGGCCTGACGGGAATAGCCTGTGAGCTATGGAAGGTTTAATGGTCCAGAGAATCATTTTGTGTAAACTCTTTTACTCTTAAGGTACTCCACAGCCAGGTTTTACTTTAGTCTTAGCTGTTTGTGCCTACAGTCACAAATTACCATAAATATGTGAAAAGATGTGGCAGTGGGTAATTCTTTGGTTTCATCTGAAAAAATGTATAAAACCAGAAAGGGAAAATTTCAGGGGGATCAATAGAAGGCTTAAAGGAACTTGACAGTTACTCTCTGCTAAAAGTCCTGGCTAATCAGATTTTTGTCTGATGTTTACCTGTCAAACATTCTCAGCAGCAGCATTTCGTCGTTTCATATCTGTTGAGGTCATCACTCATCTTCCGTCCTGAAAGCTTTTTTGCACATTTACATGGGTTTGATGCATGCATTTCATGTCAGCGTGAAGATCTTGCAGATTAGCTTGAACACTCAACACAATACAGGAGTTGCATTGGATGGAAAAGACGTGAGCTAAACTTTGGTTCAGAAGTCTTTTTTTAAAATCTCTTGGCACTATCACAGTAGAGTTAAGAGTCATTACACTACAGAACGTGGGCTTTTTTTGGATCTTGAAAAGATACTAACAGTTAAAGTTACTGTTCACGTTTGCCTCAGTATCATTGCACATGAAGGATGCCCTTTTTAATAATTATTGAAGTTGAGTCCTCTCACTTGTCACAGTGGTGATCTCCCTTATGGCTGAAAACTATTGAATCATTATGCTGATGGAAAAATGTTCACTTATTGTCTTAAAAAATTATATTCTGGAGCTCTTCTATGCACGCACAATTTATTCTATGACTAAATATGAATGTTTACAGATATGCTTTTGTTGTTGATTGTCTGTTAATGACCAGATGTAGTTATGAAGTTTTTAAGATATAAATCAAATAATATCTGCCTTTAAAAATCGTGTTAATTACTGTGACTAATGAAGTTTTTGTCATGATTGACATTGATTTTCACACTAGCAGCATCGTGTGCTGCAGGGAAGTATTTTTCTTTACCATTTTGTGTTATTTTTACCTTGTTTTTTTTTGTTTTTCTTAATTGAGTCATTACTATGACAGTTGTGATTGTTTACGTTAGAAGGCAGTATTCTACCACGACATGTAAATCATTTCTACTCAAATGTAGGAGAAAAGATGTGAAACACAGATTAGAAAGGGAGGTTACTGTGAACATTGCAAAGCCTTGATGGCAAAAAATTCCAATGTACAAAACAGGATTTTTGCTTTTATTGGTACAAAATCTAATATACTAGTACTTATGCTACAAAGAAGATAGAGCTTATTGTTTCATCTTTTATACAGTAAATGGGTACAAAGCAGAAATTTTCAAGTTATTCGCTTACTTTTTACAGACACTGTACAGATTTTATACATCAGTATTTCATAGACATCTGTAAAGCAGTGTAACAGTAGAAAAAATAAAGCTGTGTTGCACCACAAAGCTTTGCGTTCTCTGTCATTTCATGTCTTGCTAAAACTTTAAATGTTTATGTATTTAAATAGTTGTATTGCAGATGATTGTGTTCTCTCAGTTTTTGAGAAAGTGGACGATTCAGCATCATGTAACATTGGCTTTTTTAAATGGATATTATTCTAAATCACTTCTTTTATCTCTGTATAAACAAGTAGAGCATGCATCCTGTGTCCTGATAGAGAAAAGCAGCAAATTTCAGCGAATGCTTACTGTGGCTTTGAAAGAGCTCAAACCCCCATCCAGAACAGAGAAGTTCTGAATTACTGAGATTAGAATGTAACCACTGGATGCAATCACATACCACAAACTATTTTTTTAATTGGACATTTGTGAAACTGAAACTGTCTAATTTAAGTTAGTTACTCTGTTAGTAATATAAAAATCTAAGGTCTAATTCTGTGTCACAAATCAACGTTAACCAGTCTTAACTTTAGATTTTGGAAAACGTGAGATAGATCATCTCAGAAAATAAATGCATGTTTAATGTTTCACAGAACTTCTGCTTTTTGTTTTTGCAAATGCAGCCACAGCCAGTTTCCCTGACATGCTAACAGACCTGGATATTACTGGAGTTGATGATAATAGAGTTAGTCCGAACTTATATGCTGGTGAAATTGCATAAATCTTAACTATTAGTCACACTGGAATCTAAAACTTTACAAGTCTTTACAAGAGATGAAGGGTGTTTCTTGCCCAGCAATCCAAATTAATATGCATGTAACTACAACATACAACAGCAAACTACTTTTTCAACATCCCGATTAGTCCCATTCAGACCTTTTTAACCTGAATGTACAGAAAACATCCTGCAGCTTTAAACTGTTTCAGCATCAGCACACATCTGGAATAATGTGTGTGACTGTACTCCAATGATCCCTCATTTTGGTTGTATGTTTTTATATAATATTCAAAGAAGCCCTTTGATTGCACAGATGAAAAAAGTCTTGGGAAATAAATAAACTCCAGCAGCCATTGTTAGTTTCTATGAGTCAACCTGAAGACATCAGTACAGTTGGCAGTGGTAGACTGATTCTGATTGTGGTTGAGGACACAAAAAAGGGTTGCCTCGCTTAGCTGAGGTTAGTTGTTCTCTCTCTCTCTGTGCTTCATATCAGGAAATGTGTAAAACTGAGTCTCACTTTTTGTTCTGGTGTTTTAAATGCATAAGATGTTGATAACAAACAATCTACACGTTGTTACATGTGTGCTTTGCTTGACTTGCTTTGGGGTAATTACGCTTCATTTCACATTGCTGAGAGATGACAGTTATGAACACTCACACAAATTAATTTTGGATTATGTAAGCAGGTGAGTAAGCTTTGCCAGCTCATTTAGGATCTCTGCAAAGGTGGAAGTACTAAGCCATAACATTACAGAAGTCGAAGGTTTCATAAAGGGAGGATATAATCTAAATCTTTTTTTCTTAGTATAAACATATTTCCACATTTTCAAAGAGATCTGTGTGAAGTGAAGGATTGCATAATCTGATTTGGGATTGGAGTCAGTTTTCAGTGTGTGACATTGCACTATCCAAAATGTTTGATTTCAGTGTGCTGAGAAAAACTACAAAACTGTAACGGGGGAAGAGACAGAAGGATATGACTGAGGACAAACTTTGTTTTCACTGATATGTTATTTCCTTTTTCAAGTCAAAAACAGAGACAGGAAATGTTCCACCTGCAGCCCTGAACTCGACTGGAACGTGCCAGCCGTGATGGCTTTGCATCTGAGAAATAGTAACTAATGCAGAACTATCAATATGCATCTGGCAATTGAGGATAGAAGATGTCGTTTGAAAACCAGCAGCTGTTAAATTCACCAGTAGACATGTCTACATGAAATTCAAGTGAGTACAGGAATTCAGCGAATCACTGGACAGTTTTGCTTCACACGACTCATTGGCCTGTCATTCGCATTTGTTTCTGACATTTAAACAGAAAATCAGGCTATGGAAAAAACTATGGAGAAGACTAAAGAGAAGTTTTCTAAAAAATCTACTTATTCTTATTGTCTTTATCATTATCATAATTTTTACTATCGTAACTGCAATTTATAGTTGGGATGTGGGGGGTCTTAGGCTGGGGACACCCCGCACAGGTCGCCAGTCCACCACAGAGCTGCAATAGGGACTGAATAAAGTATTTTTTTAATTTTTCTAATAGAAAAAAAAATTCTCAATAAGTCAATCCTATTCTATATGATTCAGTCTGCTGGTGATTAAACTGGTGGCACATTTTCCTTTATCCTTTTTTGGCTCCTCATATTTTGTAAACAGTTCAGGATTTATGGCCTTGTTTGTATGAAGTCATATGGTTTAAGAACAGCGCAGCTAAACAATAACAGGCCTCACTCTCACGCAGTGCTGCTGGCATGCAAACCCTCTCAAATTAAAGTAAAGTCCCATCATCTTTAGTTTTGGGAAAAGTAACTTTGCAAGCTTTAATGTCAAATAAAAGTGATGCCCACAATAAGAAAACACAAGATAACTTCCACTTAGTGTCCTGAATTCATGCTTAACAAGAGGCTGGCTCGCAAAGAAATTCATGCCATCTGGTTCCAATATTCAAGGAACTTTCCATTACTTAGAAATTCCGCCATGTGTCCGCCGTTGCTGTTTTCCACTCAACAGAAAGACAAAACAAGGCACTTTGCTCTCGTATTCATCCCTGTTTCATATATTCTGTTCTTTGCAGGATGCACTTGAGCGCAGACATCCTGTCACTGTAGAACAGTAGCAAAAATAGAATAAAAAAAGAACATAATCCACTTTCAGCAGCTGCTATAGAGAGGTGATGCATATCATCTCGTCTGTTAGGTCCTCCTCACATCTCACAGCCACACACGGCTCCTCGTCACTGTAGTCCCGCATGCTGCTGTCCCTCTGGTGTGTGACGGCGTGTGAGTCTGAGTTTAGACTCCCCGCTCCGCCTGTGGTGCCATTGGCCATGTTCCCATTCAGCAGATTACTGGCGGCGCTCTCCATCTCATCAATCGTCATCTCACAAGCGTCCGCAATCTCATGTTTGGCCACTGACACAAAGTTGGGGTCCCTGGCGAATTTCCCCAAACCCTCTGAGATCAACACCTGATAGAACGAAAATTTAAAAAATCACTTATTTCAGCTTGAATGACTGGCATTGAAACAAGTGTATTGAATTGGAGAATATAAGATAGGGGTAAATAAAAAAAATAAAATAAAAATCTTATGTTTTTTTAATTAGATGAAATTGACTTTTAGTGACTGTATCATTTGGCTGAATATCAAAGCCAAGAGATATCATAAATATTAACTTTTGGCATTTGATATTGATAAAAATATTCAGCACCATTTCACACAGATGTGGCTTGTGGAATTTAAAGTTTGCAGAGCCAAATTCAAAGGGTTCTTAGATAGCAAAAAATATGAGATATTCATCAATCCGGCCGTTATCTTTAACTTACAGCTTCCACCAGGCTGTTGGCGCTGCCTCTCATCTGCTGGAGGTGCGAGCAGCCTTCTGCTGGTAACTGGAGATGTGATGGTGAGCAGCTGCGCCCGAGGGTGCCGTCCTGGCCCTCTGTGTACCAGGAACTCCTCTTTACTGCTCCGGGGAGGCTGCCCACGCTGCCAGGTCCTCGCCAGTCCACCTGCACACGAACCCCAAAGATTGGAGATGGAAACAGAACCCCAAAAATTCAGATATGTTTTTTGGTGTCCCTTCTTAATACAGGCTTTGTTAACATTTGCTTTCACATGTAACCCTAAGCAGTGTCAACCTGTATGAGCGGGGTGTAGCAGGGCGAGCAGTCCCGGCTGATGGGAGACGCGGGGGGGGTGGCCCAGGAACGCATCGACCTCGTCGGTGACAGCCGGTGAAGCCTACTGGCATCCAACCCAGCCACCGCCATCACCTGTACGGAGAGAGGAGAGATCACTGCAACCATTCTGAACAACAACACCCCCAAATACCAGTGAAAAATACCTGTTGCTGGACCAGGTGAAGGGGAAGAGCTGTGCAAGATGGAGAAGAAGGAGCGTCGTCGCCACTGCTCCTTCTGCGAAGACACTCAAAACTGAACGTAGGGGTGTTGCAGGCTGAGGGGACACACACACAAGAACCGAAAATCACCTTTGATGAAGCAAGTCATCAAAAATTCAGATACATCCCACACCACCAACTGAATTATGACCAACTACAACCCGTTAATTTGACAGAGCACAAACATTTTTACATGTCAGTTAGTTTAAGTGCAATAAATCTCCATGCATGAGTCTCATTCACGCCCAAATACCAGAATCCTTAAGACAAAAAGTAACAGCTCACCCTGAGGTGAGGACAGAAACCATCTCCTGGGTGACTTCCTGCCGTCTTGGCAGATGGGGCGTTTGTCATCGTCAGGCTGGCAGTCATCCCTGGACAGGTCATAATCTCCCTCTGTGTCTTCAGGATAATCTGTACTGGACAATCTTTAAAAAACACAAAAGAAACCTCTTCAAATTTTATCGAAAATATGACAATTGTGTGGGAATAAAATCCAAAATAATGTTCATGGTATATTACGTCTTACACAAAGCAAAACCTCCAGTTAAGATGATTTCACAGCTGTAATTCTGGCAGTCAGTCAGTGCTAAAGTTATGCTGGCATTTGCTTTTGTTGTCACAGTACCTCTCCTTTGTGAGCATAATGTCGTCCTCATGAAATTCCTCCCCGCTGAAATACTCTCCTGATCCCCGCTCGTCATCGCTGTCCCCGCAGCCCGGATCCTCTCGACGGATGGTGGGGTACAGCCCTCCACTCATCTGTGACCTGTAATCAAAAGGGCTGCCTTTATTTGACTTTTGGTGAATATTCATGATAATGCTGTGAAACGCAAGTTTGACCAAAGGATTACTGATTGAGCCTTTCCCCAGATTTCTCATCAGCTTCCTCAATTAGAGGGTGACTTTTATTTCTAGTATCGGCCTTTTTTAAGCAAAGACATCCTGAAGCTTTACATGATGGTTTGGTTGACATAATGCACCATTAAAATTAGAAAAAAACAACGTCTTTTCGGGAAATATCGCTATTCTTAAGTGGTCATATCACCCACTTACCTAATATAAGCCTCGTAGTAGCGTGTCCTGTTCAAAGTGGAGAAGGGAGAGGTGATCAGGGTTGAGGGACAGCAAGTAGAACAAAAGGATTACATAAGGCATGATGACAAATGAAGACGGTCAAAATATTTTTCCAGATTGCAAGTGAAAGCAGAGTTGCAGTAGAAAAATAAAAAAAGAAAGCAACTTACACACACTTTTAAAGTTAAATACTGGAAATATATTTAACATAAACTGTGCAGTCTATCAATCTTTTAACGACAGATTTTAATCATGGGCTTAATCATCATATTTAGAATAGAAAAGCCATTGTCTCACAGATGTCTACTTTCAAATGAGACATCCATTGTACGTTGCTCTGGCTCCATTGTCACAAACAACATACAAGCATACCCTGTTAAATAAATACTGATTGTAGTTGTTCATATAGTTGAAGTACTACCAACTGACCTTGTTGAGTGAGACTTCCACAGCTTGTTGTGAACTCCTTTACTGTAAGTGGTTGACGATCTATTTCTGGTTGAGGACGGGCGACTCCTTTGTAACAAACATTTCTGCTGCCTCTCAGTGGAGAGTAATGAGGGCACGTTGGCATTGTTGAGGTTGGCATTGGAGGGTATTGGCGACTGGCGACAGGTGGAGTTACAGTGAGGGTAGTCGTACGGATGAGGGCTGTGGTGGTGATGGTTACACTGGACGGGGGAGGAGTTCATCTCTGTCTCTCCCTCCCTATCGCTGCTGCTGGCTCGTCTGCTGATCTGGGTGGCAGCAATAGAGACACTGCAGGAGAAGGGCAGGATCTGCAGCGGCCGCTGAGTGACAGTGGTGGGGTGGGAAGACCCTTGCTGATCCCCAACAACGTGGTTGACGTGGTTCCCAAAAAGGCCGCCGTTACGCTGCAAGAGACAGAGAATAAACCAGTGAAAAGGACAGACTAAATTAGATGATATTAAATCAGGTACCAGATCTCGTTATGTTTAACCACAAAGCAGAGTGTTTAAAGTGTGTGTAAAGGGGTATTTGAAAGTCTTTTACCCTGTAAATTTCCTCCTCTTCGTCACCGGTTGCATCCACCAGTCCCTCCTCTTGTAGATCACATGATATGGCTCGACGGATTTCTGGTCCAATGTCATGCAGCGTGCGCAGCCCAGCCTGCAGAGAGATTTCCTGTAACACCACGCTTAGAAGTTATAAAACTGTAACGTAGTTACTCTAGAACCAAGTTTGTTTTTGTTTCCATCACTAACTCTCCTGTCATTTCAGATCCGGCCCTTCCCTGTCATGCAATTACTCATTCCCCCTCACCTGCTTCTCTCCGCCCATCCCCTCACCTGCTGCTCATTAGCTCATTTGGCCTTCAGTATTAATACCACTCCCTTTCCACTTTGTCCCCTGCCAGATTGTCTTGTGTTGTTCCGTTCCAAGCATTCCAGCGTTTTCTTGTTCTGCCTGCCCGTTTTGACCTCACGTTTGCCTCCCTGGATTTTGGATACCTGCCTGCCCCTTGTCGGATTTGTTTGCCTCTTCAACTGATCTCCTGGTTTTGACCCCTGCCTGTTTTTGGACTGAGTAAAGTGTTTTTCCCTCACTATTTGCCTGTTTGAGTTGTCGTGCTTTTGGGTTCTCTGTTGCCTGGACCAGTGGTCGTGACAAAAACATATCCTGCATGCACTTGTATGTAAATGTGTGATACGGAAAGTCATTTAGACTATATAAGATAAAAGGACTTCATGGGCATAAATATTTTTCTCATGATTAGGATTAGAAAAAGTTTGAGGTTAAAGTAAAGCTTAGATACACTGTTGTAATGAGGTCAGGACAGTAGGAGGGAAAAGAATACCTTAAAGTATGATAGCATACCAGACAGAAAAAAACAAATTTGCATGCACTATCTTAATCTAGGCACCATCTCAGTGTTGTCAGCTCTTTAAATATATTATCAGCTTTTCAACAGGGTAGGTCATGAATGCAGTTTCAGATTACATAAAAATTGTCTATATATTACATTTTATGTCACATTTATGTTTGACACATTTGCTGCCTTTGGTGCAAATAGTTCCAGCTTGTCTATCTGTGGTCAATTCATGACAAATTCATTTCAGGGCACATCATAGGGAATGTTCAGTACAGTTTGGTTCAATTAAATCTGTTTTTCTTTGGTCGACATTAGCAGAAAGAAGCTAATTTCAGTAACTGAAGAGCCCAGAACGAGTCCGATCATGACTATGAGTTTAGTTTTGCCTGATATCTTTGTTGTTTTCCTGAGAAATACCTTTTCAGCTCTGCCTAATCCTATTCAACAACCAAATCTGTGTTGATCCAAAGATAAACAAGGATTTTTTAAAGATTTTTTTTAAAGACAAAGAAAAAAAAACAGAAGAGAAGGGGTAAAGACAAAATGTGTGTTTTTTCTACCATGGCTTTTAGACACAAGTTTTTACTCACCTGTAAGGCCAAGGTTGTGTTCAGCCTCTCCCATGACCGCCGTCCCACAAGACCTTCTTCTTTGCGCCTTTTGAACTTTCTGAAGTAGTCCTGTATCAGGAAGGTGGCATAAAACTTCCCCACAGTTACCTCGTCATCTGAGTGAACAGACCAGACACACCAAAGCCTCCCATGTCAAGACCAGAACACCAGAACACCAAAACACTAATACACCATTATTTCCATCCAGGACAACACTTAAAATCCCTCAGTGCTAAAACATGACAGGAAAGCAACAGCTCAACAGGGGAATCAAAAAATACTTCTATATCTGACTGATGATAACAAATGTATTTGTAACATAGATTTTCATGGAAGCATAGAAAAAAAAAACTCCTTTATTACATAAAAGTAAAATCTATTTCATGACTCATTACTGGCCAACAAAAGAAAATGGTTGCCTTCTTCATGACAAAGCCAAGTGTAATTTTTCGGAGCATAGAGGCATTGAATTTGTTTAATTTCATCCTCAGCATTATTTGTTGATAGCTAATGTAAATAAGCTTTACAGTGTAATAAACAAAGATGTCAAGCAGGAACTAAGTTCAGTGTTAAACAAGTCTATGCTTGACTGCTTCCAGTTTAAAAATGCTCTCAAAAAATACCAAAACATTCCAAAAAAGTAAAGCCATGTTTACGCAAAAAGCTAAATGCATCTACATCCATTGGAAAATACACACTAAAGAGTTTAAAAGCCACCTTTTAAATCCTATCAATCTGTAAATAGAAAGTTTTTTAAAATCACAGCCTGCAGCAAGAAGCACATGCAAGACCGCAGCAAAGTAAATGGAAATCATAATCACGCATAAAGATCTTTCAGGAGGGAAGTTATAGCAACAAACTATCTGCCATGCAGAAGGACAAAGCGTGTACGGGTCTGATTCCATCAGATAAGCTGTTGCTAAAGCAGACAAGGGGCTGAGTCATAAAACACAGCTGCACCAGTGTATTGGAAATGTGTGCTCTGCTTTTCACCACCTTCTTTCTATCCATTTCAATCACAGTGGTATCAAGTAAAGGTGGCAGGTTATTGGATGTAAGAAAACAGGCATCAGACACATTTCTCTCCAACATCTGACACAGCCAGAAACAAACCACAAAAGGCTCTGTTCATGGAAAGAAATTGAACAAATGCTAAACTAGAACCTGTATGTTCAAATTTTTTTTCAACAAACATGTCATTCTCCCATGAAACTAAAACTCTAAAAGATTTGATCAGACTGTACAGATTTAAGTAGAATTTGTCCTTATTCATAGTTTCCTGACTCAGTTATCCATAATTAATATAAAAATAAGTTATTAAGCTGGTTTTAACTAAATAATATCAATAATGATACTAATACTACTACTACTAATAATAATAATAATAATAATAATACATATTATCAAAATACAAATAAACACATTTTTATAGGCTGGCTGGATATTGATTTTCTTAGTTTTATATCAGCATGCTATGCCGGCAGCTTGGATTATTATTCTCTTATTATTCTCCCTCCGGACAGAGTCTTTAGCTTTTAAAGAGCACTTTTCATGCCACCAGACTGAAACTGAACTACACCAAAGAGCTCAAGATGGCAGAAAGAGAAGAGAAAAAAAGGCCACTAAAAGAGAGTAGAAAAAGCTGTGGGGGACATGAGCTTAGCAGAAAAAAAAGAAAGGGGTTAGCAAACTAAGGCACACAAAGTCATGCAGCAGAATTGAACCGGACAAAGTGAAGCAGAGTAAACATCGGAGCGAACCACAAAAACTAAAGCAACAAAGTTCAAAGCATAAACCCATTTAAATGTAGGGTTAGAGAGAAGTCACAAATATCAACAAGTTAAAAAAGTAAGAAGAAGACTATTTTTTTTCAGAAAATAAAAATTATTTATAAAAATGATTTTATCTGAGAGTCTGGATGCAGAATTAGGTTGCGTAAGTTTTTTTTGGAGCTATTATGCAACATTCATGTGATTGTATTGCAACACAAGCTGTGTCCAGTCACATGCATATCAACATCCAGGTGACAAAGCTAAGTCATCATTAGTCACCATTTTTCATTAGTCACCATAATTCTTTGAAAATATCAGCTTAGTTAGAGGCCGCTTATATTCAGATCACCAGAAAAAGATATAAAGGTACAAGAAAAGGGAACAATGAGAGTTAAATGCTTGAACTTTGAGCAACGAGGAAAAGGTGAGGTGTGTAAAGAACACTGACCGCCTGCAGGAGGCACCACTTGATCCAGCAGCTTCATGCTCGTCCTCTTCCAGATCTTTTTGATCACTGCTCTTAACTCTTCATTGGCTTGCTCCAAGTTACCTGAAAGAGGCGTCGTAAAAACATCACAAGCTTCACATCGAGTAATAGATTTTTTTGTGTATACATGCACAACACAATCAAGATGTACAAAAGAAAATATGTAAAGAGTAAGTAAATGATGTCATGTTATCAACATGTTGATAAAAGGTTGAGGGGACTTTATAATAAAAGTAGCATGAGTAATCTTGAATTAAATCAAATTCATACTCATTGTTGTAAGTTAATGAAAAAGTTACGACATTCAGTAACAAGCATTTAGAAAACAACCAAAGATTTTGCCAATAGCTCATTTGTCTTGAGCGGAGCACTTACCCTCCGTCTTGATCTTGAGAGCAGTACGAACCAAAGCAAACAGCGTGGCGTTGAACATTACAGTTCCATCACTGTTGAGAGGCATGTTCATCGCTACCAGTCGCTGCAAAATGGTTCAAAAATGGAAATTAAAAGACTCCCTTCTCTGCATACAGAAGGTGCATTGCTGCCGATTAGCGATGGGCACAAACCTTGCAGGCCACTCTGTGAGGGCACAGTTTGCCGAAACCCAAAGGCGGCTGGATCCTCCTCAGCAGAGTTACAACATCTAGATGTTTTATCCTACCTCTAATGATAGGGAAAAGAAAAGAAATATCAGAGCAGTCACCAGCCAACATCTCTAGGATAACAAATTCCAATATACATAAAAAATTGGCACCAGGCACTCACTTGGCTTCAGGATCATATTCTGACCAAATCCTTTTGAACTCATCAAGGTGATGCGGTCCAAGAATGGACCAATCACGAGTCAGGTAATCGAAGTTGTCCATGATGACAGCAACGAAGAGATTAATGATCTGAAAGAGGAACGGGGACTATCTTTTTCCATCTGTTATCCACAACTGTGAAAATATTCATCTTTATCAAAGCATTAGTGGAAAAAAGGACAGTTATTTCTCCGAGGAGTACCAGGAAAGCGCAGAGCATGTAGAAGCTGATGAAGTAGATTATAGCGAAGCCGCTGCCGCAGGTTCTCTCCTCTCCAGGGTTGTAGTCGGACTCTGAGTCACACAGCTTCCCCGGGAGACAGGCCAGCATGATCTCCTGCCACGCTTCCCCCGTGGCACACCTGGCACAGAGCGAGAAACGCCATGGTTCATGTACTGACTCTCTGTGGAAACTGGGACAATGCCTGAAGTTTGAGCAACATAAAGATGCAGACCTGAAGAGCATCAGGACAGCTTGGGGAAAGGTTTGAAAGTTGTTGTTGCGATTAATTTGTGTTCCGTCCACCATTGCTATTTTACCAAACACCTAAAAAAAAAGAAGAAATAGGGCCACACAAATGAACAAGTAGTATTTACACCATGGCAATAAAATGACGGCAAAGCGCAAAATGTTATCAGTACTATGTAGAGTGTAACACCACTGAGCAGTATTTCTCACACGTCAGACAGCATTACCTGCATTCCAATAACAGCATAGATGAAAAACAGCATGGCTATCAGAAGGGCAACGTAAGGAAGAGCCTAGGTCGGGAAAAAAGAGAAAGCAGATGTTGTATAGAAACTCTGTCTGCTTTCAGCCACGCACTGTGAGAAAAACCCGCTGAATCACTGAATGACTCATGAATCTGACTCAAACTTAAAAAAAAAAAATCTGCATCATGCTGTTCAACACAAGAACTGCAGAGAGAAAGACAGTGTGGGTATAGAGATGTCATTGAACTGAGATTTTATCGTGATGTAACCAAAAAAAACAGCAAACTTTCCGGGCTTTCCCAATCTTCTTTCAGTCGTACACTTTTTTCCACACATATTTTTTCCAACCTCACCTGGAAGGACTTAATAAAGGTCCACAGTAGAGTCCGGATTCCCTCCCCCCTGCTCAGCAGTTTAACCAATCGCATCACCCTGAACAGGCGGAAGAAGGTGATGGAGATGCGAGCACTGTCCTCTGTGTTCTGAAATGGAGGAGGTGAGCAAAAATTAAGGACAAAGAACTGAGAGGAGCAACATCCGAGAACGTTTCTAAAGCATTCAGTCACGCCGTCTGTCACATACACGAGAGTCCTCAATGAGTCAGGTTAGCAAACAAGAAACATAAAGTTAGATTCAGATCCCACAGAAAAATCTGTGCTGTCGACTCATCGGGACAATAACAAACAGAATGCATGCAGAGAGGCTGTTTCCTCAACACCATGCTGTTAACAGACCTGGACAACTGACAACAGGAACAATGCACCAAAGATTAGTCAGAAGACAAAATCCTTTTTTATGCCTCGTACAAACACAAAGATGGAGATTTATCCGCCTCATGAAAAACACATGCACCTTCAACAAGGAACGTAAACACGGGGCAGTTTGCTGTCCAAACAATTTTAGTATTCTGACTGCAAATGCTCTGTAAATCATTTGATCTTAAATATGAATATAAAAAAAGAATTGTTATCTAATCCTTGCATCATGCCATGCCTCCAAACAGGACAAAACAAAAGCAAACTTTTGGGAAGCTGAAGCATGGGCCAAAATGCAGCAAGTTGGAACAACTGAAAACAGACATTCACAGTTCAAAGACAAACCCTCACAGACTATTGAAGGAACATGACCAAAAGGCTCTGGTTAAAAGCATTAAAAAAAATTTTAACAGCAACTCGGCAACACTGTCACTACAAGATGATGCAGATGCTTTGATTTTCGGATGATAACAGAGGGGTGAAAGGCTTAAATAAAAACGGGGGGGCGGGGGGATTCTTACCCCTGGCTCCACTATCACCTTGACAACAGGAATGGCTGCCGACTTGAAACCAAAAGCCTACAGTTAATCAATGTTGTGAAAAAAACAGGTCCACAGCATCAAACCATTCACAGGTTAGTGATGCTAACATCATATGTCATCACTTTCTTTCATTACACATCTCATTACATTAAATAGACAGAGCGGCATCTTCATTAAAAACAAAAACATCACATTTGCATTAACAACATCAGATGTCTCATGCAAAAGCTTTCCCATGTGTTTCAGGAGATAATATCATTGTAAGATGCATGTGCACAAAGCACGTGAAAATCACTGCAGGAATATGAAAAACCTCAACCATATGCTTACTATTTACCTAAATACATTGTTAAAATGGAGAACAAATTTGTTTTGACAATCATTTAGAAGTGACCCAAACTGACATTTTTCATTTTCAACTTGTAGAAGCATAGAGCATAAAATCCATCGGAAAGTGCAGACATGCCCTCAAGAAATGTTCCACCATGACTCATATCAGCCCGTGATATCAAAGTTTTCTCACACAGGTTTCATTCTCTTCTGGTTTAAAGGCTTACAGCAGGTAAATCAGAGATGCTCTAAAACATTTCAGGAAAAATATACATAATAACATGTAAATGCTGGCATGAAGCACGAAGCAAGTGTTAACACGAGCACACCAGGACATGGGGGGGCCTAGCAGTAGTCATACAGGACAGAGGACCCAGCTCATCATATTCAATACACTGAGACAATACTGCATTCAGAAACTACCCAGAAATGATCAAAATCTTCACAATTGATTTTTTAAAAATGTATCTTAAAAGGATTTCATGGATAAATACGTTTTTTCACACTATAAAACATTTCATCAAATGTGAAACTGAATCTGTATTCAACTATCAAGTGTTATCAGCTCAAATAACTAAAAATAATTGACTGTCATTAAACCGGTTTATTTTTTACTTCGGAAATAACTACTTTAGCTAAATAAAGGGAAAAGCTGTGATCTCGAGTGCCGCCCTGATGCTACGGCGAGGCCCTCCCCTTGGGAACAAACATTAAGACGTGTGATAAATGATTACTTACATTGATTTCAGTGATGGCAATGTCAACCACACTACCCACAACAATTAAGGCATCAAACGTGTTCCATGCATCAGCAAAATAGTTCTGCAAGCACAGGCGACAAAGACACACAGAAAAGAGGGAGAAGAGAGAAAACACAGCAAAGAGGGAAAAAAAGAATTGTGAAAGATAGACAGAGAATTACATCAACAAGTTGAGTTTTGAAATAAAAGAGTAAAGATGAAAGTCAGCCTTTTGGCTGGAATTTGTAAAAGCTCCGGTTTGACAAGTTTGGCTGCTTGTATCTTTTAAAGTATTTTTTAGAGCAAGAACAAACTCATCATGGCATGCTTAAAACAGATGATTGGCAGGGATTTTATTTGTACTGTGGCATGATGCTTTTATAAATCGGAATGAAACGGCCTTAATTTGATCATTAATACTCAGGATGAATCAACAGAATGCTTTGGGACCTCCCAAGTAGCCAAAGAATATCAATCGAATGAGTTTTCAAACAGAACAAAGTTAAAATAGTCAGAAATGACTGGGTTTCGATATTGTGTTCCTATGCTTTCTTTACAGATTGACTTTAAGCTACATGGAATCAGGTTGAACAGGACTGATGAGTAATAAACACGAGCAAACACCCTCTTAACAGAAACTATAAACAAAAAGCTATTCTGTTTAAACAGACCCAATTTATGAGCAGAGACAAGTCAACACAAAGATGAGACAGGAAGGAAAGCAGGGAAGATGTGAAGGACGGAAAAAAGAAAGCAGCAGCAGCGGGAGAGCAGGAAGAGGGATGGACGGAGTGGTACACGGTGACGTCTGTCTACCTGGCTGAGTATGATGTCGACTACACTGCCAATCACCACCAGGGCATCGAAGACGTTCCAGGCGTCCCCGACATAGCCCTGAACATGGTGGCATACGCAGCCAGCGGGAGCAAAGGGGAGGGCAGGAGACCAGGAAACGTAGGGAAGCATAGAAGGTAAAGCGGTTACGGTGGGAAGTAACGGTGGGTAACGATTAGAAATCAATCGAAGAGGAGTCAGCCACTGAGGAAAAGGGGAGGCGGGAGGGCCAGGAAGACTGAGGGCGTTTGACTGCTGGGGGTTATAGTTTAAAGAGAGATGCTTTCAGGAGCTAGGGTTTTCTACACACAAATCTGCTCATAATTTGCCTAAACACTGCAACAATATTGCACAATTTTCAACTTTTTCAGGGACTAAACATTTAAAATGAGAAGAAAACTCACTCTGGGTTTGAAAGCAATCAGCTTGAATATCATCTCTACTGTGAATACACCAGTGAAGACCATGTTGAGGATGTCCATGGCATAGTTAAACAGATGCGATTGTCCATGGTGCTGAAATAAACAAGTCGCAAGACGTATTTAACATCTCTAGACATTTCTGTGCCGTCTTGATCTCACAATGTTTCACAGGAAGAGGGAGAACCCTCTTCAGAAAACTAACCTGAATGGCCAGACACAGAGTGTTGAGGATGATGAGGACAAACATGACGTACTCAAAGCCGGTGGAGTTTACCACATACCAGAACTTGTACTGGTAAGGGTTTTTAGGAATGTAGCGCCGCAGGGGGCGTGCTTTCAGTGCGTACTCCACACACTGGCGCTGAGATGATGTAATGGAGGAAAAGAGACAAATTCATGAGCAATTTACCACACATTTCAGCAAAAGGAATGTATCTTGAGAATAAATACAACAAAAACAACACAAGACCTCCTTACCTGGTTCTTATCCAGCTCACAGTTTTTGTACTCCTTCTCTCCCTGCTCCTGAAAGGTGACAATCACGAAACCGACAAAGATGTTCATCATGAAGAAGGCGATGATGATGATGTAGATAATGAAGAAGATGGAGATCTCAATCCGGTAGTTGTAGATAGGGCCCATGTTCTCCCTATTTGAATCAATGGCTTTGTATAATAGACTGTGGAGACACAAAACACAAGTTTATACCCACCCGTAAAATGTTCCTTTTTTTAATCACATTAGCATGCAATTTTAGACTAAGACAAATCAAAACAAGGAAAATCCTTACGTGGGCCACCCTTCGAAAGTTGAGACGGTGAAGAGAGCCATCATGGCCATGAGGACATTGTCAAAGTTGAAGTCACTGTTGTACCAGATCCTCTCCTTCACCATGGGCAGGGCAGTGTCCCCATTGTTGTAGAGAATGTATGTACCCCTTAGATTTAAAAATGCCTGTGAGCCACAAACTCTAAAATAACACATATGCAAACAAACACACACATACTCGCACTGCTGACATAATGATGTCAGTCTGTGTGGAATCAACTCACTTGCACTCATCTGGGCTCGACTTTGCATCATCTGTGCAGCGATAGAATTTACCCTTTTTAAAATAAAAAAAACAGCAAAAAGTAAAACATATGTATTAAGTACAAAATCCTCCTCATCTTTACAGCTTATCTGTTTTGTATAAGAAGTCATTATTTGATCACTGTGTGACTTTACTTCAACACTCTCTTTTACCTTGAAGAGCTGCACGCCGATGCAAGCGAACATAAACTGGAGCAGCGTGGTGACGATCATGATGTTGCCGATGGTCCTGATCGCTACAAACACGCACTGAACCACATGCTGCAAGCAGCAGGGCCAAACAAACCATTAGAATGCAAAGTAAACGCTATGAATACAACAAAATAAAAATATCAATCAGAAACAAAAACCCTAATCGTGCACATTTTTCCATGACGCATAATCAAAATTCTATGGGAAAACCAGTTAAATTCCTATTGACAGACACACAGACATCCAGTGGCACAGTTTATATCATACTGTTCAGACCTTGAGGCCTTTGGCCCTGTTGATCGCCCTGAGTGGGCGAAGAACTCGCAGAACACGAAGGATCTTCACTACTGAGATGGCGGAAGACCTGTGGAAGACAGTGAAATAAACTTGGATGCCCTGGACTGTTTACATGGGAATATTGCCTTTAAAATTTTCTGTGTTTATCATTTTTTTATTAGGATATTAAACATTTAATTACACTAAATTCAACAGTCTGACACATTTATGTGAGTTTAAACAAATGTAAAAGTTTCTGATGAACACTTCCAGAAATCCCATTTTTTATAGCCATGTTTAACCTGAATACTAATATTCCTTAAAATATAATTAACTATAACCTGATCCTACGTGTCTTTTGTTATTCACAGCTCAGCAAGACATGAAAAATGTCTACTGTGGAGAAATAAAAATAAAAAACTTACTGGATGCCAAAGGACACCAGCGAAACACCAACAACCAGCAGGTCTAATAAGTTGAAGTAGTTCCGACAGAACGCCCCCTTATGAAGGAACGCTCCGAACGCCGTCATCTGGACAGACAGGAAACACCCATTAGCGTGACAAGTAGCGGGGAGAAGCTTTGAAATAGACTTTCATGGGATCAAATTTGACACTAAAAACAAACAACAGCATTACGTCACAGAACTGCATTGTTAAATTTTGTATTGTCTTTGTATATAATCCACCATCACTTAGTTCAGAGACACATGTGGTCTCATGTCTCTGCTTCTCAATTCGGTGGTCATGTGTTTATTCTTTATGTCTCACAGGGACAAACTGGTAAACAGAAAAGACCCTCCGATGTTGGTGAAGCAACACTTCAACAATGATCAGTTCTGTCGTCTGTACAAACAAACAAGCCTGGATTCCCATTTCAAAGCAAACACCTGTAAAATGAGGCGGTCAGACATGCAGTGTGCAGCTCTGCACAAAGACAGAAATACAAACACATCCAAACACACTATTTATAAATGCACATAATGTCAACAGAAACTGCATATCAAAACTTCATTGCAGAACAGATTTATCTACTATGTGAACCACAACCAGGACCTAAAGTCCTCTGAAAGGTTTTTAGTCTTATGCCATCAATTAGATTTACCTTGTGCTGACATGCAGCAAGCAACAGGAAAAGCAAAAGGCCTCTAAAATCATTAAAAAATCTAGTGGATTTCATCAAGCATAGTCTTTTTTGGGTGGGTTAAACAGGCTCCTCATTTGTGCACGTTGTATCCCATCAGGCATTGAGATCCATGTTAATAAAAGTTAATCAATGCAAAGGCCAGAGATTAGATATAAGACTCTTTAAAATCTGATTTTTTTATGTTAGTTTGTTAAAAGCATTCAAATGAATTTATCAGTGCTGAAAAAGGTACAAAAATAGAGTGTGCAACATTTCAAAATGCCACAGCAGTCAGACTGAATAAGTTTGTAGTCTTTTCAAAGTCATATAAACTAGTCAAAACCGAAATAAACCGAATAGTAGTAACTGTACTCTGATAAGCTCTGGCCCATTAACTGGCTGCGGGTTTAAAGGGAAGTTTTGGAAAAGTGACCAACACACATAAATTCTACATATGTGCAATAACAAAAACTCATGATCTCCACGTTGACAGCTTGGCTATGACAACGAAACAAGCAGGAGACCGATCTGACCAAAAATAAGAGAGAAAAATGGAGGGAGGACGGATGGGTGCAGCAAGCTCGGAGGTGGTGGGTTGTTGCTGAGGCAATGCAACGGTCGTTATTGTTTACCTTAACAAGGATCTCAAATGTAAACATACTAGTGAAGACATAGTCTGCATAGCCTAGGATCTGAGGAGGCAATCAGAGTGACATAAGCACGCAGGGTTACTGAAGCTCTACCCAACACAGCACAACACAGCACGGACAAGACATTTACCTTCAACAGGATCTCAACAGTAAAGATTGCGGTGAAAGCATAGTCAAAATAACCAAGTATCTGCAAAAAGCAATGCACAAGTTCAAGTCATTCCAAAATAACAACACAGTCAGTGATCTATACTTCTAATTCTAGAGATTGTACGGTTTAAGCACAGGTGAAACACAAACTAATTCCTAAATAGTAAAGTATGAAAAAAAAGAAGTCTGAGATTTTTACAGTTTAGTTCTTATATTCATCAATGCCTATAAGTTGATGTCTGTAAGAAAATAACATCTTTTTCATTTTAAATCACTCAATTCATTCAACAATGTTTGATTTTCTGCTTAAAGTTTCTTAATTTTTTTACTTCATAGAGTATGCAAGAGTGACTTTTTCATATGGTTCAACAAAAAAGTTCTTTATGTTTCAAAGACTGCTGATAAAAACCTAAATCCAAGGGAAGAGACAACATTTGAAACCGCAGAAAATCAGGTCTGTTTCATCGGCCTCTGATGCAATTTGAGTTCCGGCGTTGTTAACATGGGCCAGTCCAAACCTAAGACCTACTTCCATTTACAGCACTTCTGCATCAAGTTACATCATTTTTCACATTCTTGGAAATTCAAGTTAACATTTGGTCTCTTTACATTGAAATTTACCCAGTGCAGCTTGTTTTCTCATGTTAAAATGCAAGTACTCATTAGTATGAGGATGTTCAGTATGTGATATACAGAAGTGGACTAATTATTTTTGCAATATGTTTTCTGTCAATGCCTTCGCATTTTCTATCAGTTTTGATAATGATGTTTTGCCAAATCATGGTTTCAGTGGATCTGTTGGAGCGCAGGTTTTTACAATTTAACGACTTTTTCTCCTTATGACTCTTCCTCCAGTGTCACGACCCTGCAACCTTTAATATTACAAATACCTGAGAAATTCTGCAGGAGTTTGTTACTCTCACCATGTGAAAATGGTGGAGTAAAAAGATTCAGTGTCTCCTAATGTTTGAGTAGCTGTGGAGCGGCCCTCAGACAGCCGGTGGCAGTTTACGTACAATATTGCGAGCTGAGAAGTTGCGAATGGGGTCCTCGGCAGCCAGGGATACAGAGCTGAGCATGATGAAGACTAGAATGAGGTTGGTGAAGATATGGTGATTGATAAGCTTATGGCAGAGTACGCGGAACCTGAAAAAAGAGAGAGAAAGTAGACAGATAAACTGAGACTTGTTGTTTGATGTGACACCGGGCTGGTGGCTGGTTCTTGTTCGTTTTGCTGACGACACTAAGCAGCATCTGCCAGACTCACGGGTTGGTGCTGCTAAAGATAAAGAAGGCGCTGCCTTCTGGGATTGGCGGCGTCTTTTCCTTGATACTGAGTTCAGAAATCCGCTGAGGGCGGGGCCCTGAGGGGACTTCTGGGAGGTTGTCATGATTGTCATCATCTTCTGCTTCACCTGAAAAACATTGTTAGAATGTTAATCAGACACATATCTGGTTGAGACTCGTGTTTTCCTATTCAAATTTGTATCACTCAATATAAATTCGTTGCTCAATGCCATCATATCGATATACTACAACAATATGGAAATCAAGTATACAAAACATCTATATTAGATATTAGAGAATAATCAACAAGATGTTTTCTTTTTCTAAAGAATAATAATAATACATTTTATAAACATTTTCAACCGTTGAGAGGGCTATATTATCATGCACACTATCTCAAGTAACTGTACCTGGAAAGTCGATGGCAGGATACCCCTCTTTTTCTCCCTCTAACAGAGCTTCTGTCGGCACCTACACAAGGCGAACATGTTTAATGTACTAAACATGTATATTTACTAAGAGAAAAATGAAAACAGCAGTATGCTTTAACCACTGAGTTGTATATTTCATATCACAATTTGCAGGTTTTATGCATGGAAATGAAAATGATTAGTTTTTTACCTTTGCATCACCATCCTTTGCTTCAGTTATTTCAACTCTCCTCTTGTCTACGCTTGCTCCCCTTTTAGTGACACAGGGAAGTAGAACAGAGGGACTAATGAGACAAAAGGGCACTATGTTTTTCCGGCAGGAAAAAGTGTTCCCAAATAAGCAAAAAGTGTCCCGTACTTGGCACTATTTTTCCTTTTCTTGGCTTCTTCTTCCTCCTTCTGGGCCGTGTTGAGGCTCTCTGCATCAGCCAGGTTATCAACAGCAATGGCCAAGAAGACATTCAGAAGGATGTCTGATCATGTGAGTCAAAGAGCAACTCTTAACCAAGACGCAGACTCAACTTGTGAATATGGGACATTTTAAACTGGATAAACTAAAAAAGGACATTTTGAAAGCACAGAATATTCATTGGATGTGGGGGGGGGGGGGGGGGGTTATATGACTTATATGTCTATCAGAACCATTGTGCCATTGTGCTCTGTAGGATACAATTTCCACAGATGAAGAGGATGATGAAGTAAATGCAGACTACCATTCCAGAGGATGCTGGACCACCATATGCCATGATACCATCATACATGACGGTGTTCCAGTCCTCGCCTGTCAGGATCTGATAGACATTATGGACATTTTACATATTTGGCATTTTGATTATCATAGTAATAATTTCTTATAATAAATTATGGATTTAAAATGCATAACTTGTGTTGCAACAGTAGCAAAACAGACTCCATGTCCATACAAAAATTTCTGACTGAAAAGAAAAACACAGACATACCTGAAACACAGTGAGCAGGGCCTGGGGGAAGTTGTCAAATGTGCTTCTTTTGGTCACGGTCTCATCGAAGTTGAACTTGCCCCCAAAGAGTTGCATGCCAAGCAGGGAGAAAATAATAATGAAGAGGAAGAGCAGGAGCAACAAGGAAGCGATGGACTTCATGGAGTTGAGCAGCGAGGCCACCAGGTTACTAAGCGATGCCCAATGACTGGAAAAGAAAATATATATACTTTCAGCTAAATTTCTACTGTAATGTATTATTACTTAAACAAGGTATTACTCTCCAGTTCCTTTCTCTCTCTCTCTCTTTGTGTTGGCATCATATTATTTCTAGATAGCCTTCTCGCTATGGTCTAACTACACCTATCATGTCATTCCTGCACCTTTCAACAAGAGACTAGTAAACCCTGTCCCAAATTAGCAGCCATGTCTCATCTCAATTTGGGTCCAGTTTGACATAACCACATGATATCTGAAGTGGAGATGTGGCAAAAAGTTGAAGCAGAGGGATCAGGTGAACTGGGTTGGATCCCTCTGTTGTTTAAAAAAAAACAGCTATATAGGGACAGATAGCTGTCACTGACACCTTATCAGTGCTTCTGTGAGTACATACACTCTCTTTCTGTGTTCATAAAGATCAATACCTTCATTAGGTCCAAAAAACATTGTTTTTAGGTTAGTGAGAGGTGCTAAAGGAATATCAAATGTTAGAGTTATATTGTTATTCGTGTTCAGGCTAAATGCAAATATCGAGTCGACATCTTTGGCTTAGATTAGAAAAAAAACTGTCAATTTTTAACCCAATTCAACCCAAATTTACACTAGACATTTAGGGACAATACATTTGTATTTCATGCCAGATGTCATCCCATTGATAACATGGGACTCAATGGGACTGCTCACCGAGTAACCTTGAAGATTCTAAGGAGGCGAACACAGCGGAGAACAGAAATGCCCAGAGGAGACATGATGGCAAGCTCCACCAGGATGGTCTCCACGATCCCTCCGCACACCACAAAGCAGTCGAAGCGGTTAAACAGGGACACAAAATAAGCCTGTAGCCCCAAACTATACATCTTCACCAGCATCTCCAGGGTAAACAATGCCAGGAGAACTTTGTTGGCTACATCTGGAGAGAACAGAAGAAGAAATGTTTATTTTCCTAAACTTCCTATAGCATGGAAAAGTGTTTTATCGCCTACTACAAAAGAACAAATATACCTTGTACTTCAGTCAGCCAGTCGGGCTGGTTGTAGTGCTCTGAGGAGATGGTGAGTGTGTTGAGGAACACCAAGATGATGACCAGCCAATAAAAAGTCACAGATTTCACTGCTGCACGGCACTTCCTGCGGCAGAAACGGTTCCAACGTCGCCACTGACGACTGACAGACAATCAGTAGTCACTCATTAATTATTTCATTTACAGATCTTTAAACACATTTTGTTCATGTGTGTATAAATAAAAAAAGATCATCACAAAATTCAACTGGATACAAATGGAATGGGTACAAGGGAAGCTTTTTAGGTCAAAAGACAAAACACAGCAATCAATTTCTGGTGCCAAGAGGGGGGACAAACATACATATTAATACATATGGGATTCATTTCAGTGAGGGGAAAATCAGCCATGCAAGATGAGTTGAATAGATTAGTTGAAAAAACATGTCCACCATGCACTGTCACAGTACTAACCTGAATTTTGACTTAGTAATTTTTTGACTGAGGAGAATAAAAGATGAGGGAACTATTAATAAAGAAACAGGAGACACTGTTCACCCTGTATTTGCATGTCTATGTCAGTTTCCAGGTGACGTTAAAAATCAAAAGCAATAGCTGAGGAGCTGACTGTTGTGTAAACACGTCATACTCACCATAGTGGTCCACAGCATGGGGATTTTTCCTCCTCTCCATTGTGATTGTCTGTGTTCACTGATTCAGTCTCACTCGCAGGCATGCTCGCTATGAAATCACACACACGTGCACGTACAGAAACATGCAGAAAACACACGCACACAGATACACACAATTATTTTTCCTGAAAGGTAGTTTCACCAAAAAGTACTTTTGATTTATTGTGAGTATCGTAGAATAGGAAATGTAACGCCTCATTTTAAGGGCCAAAAGACAAAGTTAACCCACCTGAAATCACATGAGGCAAGAAACTAATAAGAATTCACAGAGCAACACCTTTATAGTCCTTAGCATTATAATATTTATTTTTCCAATACAATGATTAATCCAATTCTAATTCTTTTTCTTATGTTATCAATACAAAAGGCGATTTAAGGTGCCTGCATGAATAAAAACAACAGGTGGTGAAAGATGCTACAACTGAAGCAAACTGCATTCAATATGTTCAGTTTTAACCTAATTTTGTTACTCAGCTAAAAGACTACAATCATATTTGCCATTGCCTTTGATTTAAAAACTCTCATAAATATATTTCACATACTGAAAATGCATCAATTATATCCATATGTGTGCCGCAACAGGTATTTCTCATTTGGTCACACATAAACATACAGTCACATGAATAATACATGCAAAAATATTGTCTGAAGAATGAAAGGAGTTCCAAGTGACAATGGCACAATGAAGGATCTGAACTTGACAGTAGGTCATGACATGAACTGAAAACTAACATCTGAAAGGTATATCCTAGTGGATATTCAAAGATGTTAGAATTAACATAGTATCAAAATAACTGTTTCCTGTATTCCCCAGGAAAAATGTGAAAACACGTCAGGTATGTGACAGCAAACTGGAGAAAAGTGCAGGATTTCTTTCACAATGAGCAGCATTAAAGGTTTTACCCACTCACAGCCTGTAAAACCACATATAAATGTATATCCATCTAACTAGCCTTACTTTTTGTCATGTTGTGCCTTTAACAAAAATCAATAATTCTCACAGAGTTGGTTGCCTTCCTATGCAAAGATAAAGTGAATCCCCTTCTAAATTGACATCCTCTTTCCGTTAAACAATCCTTTTAACTTGCACTTAGGCTTTGTTTGATGACAGGACACGATGTAATAATAATTTCAATCAAGCCAATCTGAAGATGAAGAATATGACCATGAAGAGTAGGAAATACAGAGAAATGATACAAATAGCATGCAAATACCAAAGCTCACACAAAAGCACATGGGCAGCAAAGCATATCAGTTATGCAGAGACATCCTTCAGGGTAAAGATGAAATGTCCTCATGAACATGAGCGGGGGAGAAACACACACTACCAGAAACTTGCACGCACATTTACCCTGTGTCTCTGTGGACTGAGTGAACCAGCCAAATTTTCCTTTCTTCTTCTCAGTTAGGTCAGCCAGCGTGACCCCTTGGTGTTACCAACATGCAGTTCATACAGCCAGACAGCAGAGGAAGCAGCGAGTCAGTACGCAGCAGAACAAGAGAGAGGAATGTACAGCCAGAGGCAACTGCAAAACAGACTACCGGCACAGCTACCATGTCCAGAAAAGACTAATTAAACTACATAGGAATGCATGCACTTGATGTTTCAATAAAAAATCTAAACCGATTTGTAATTATTACTGTGTCCGCGTCCAATTAAAGTAAAAATTGTTTTTATTGCTTGTTAGTCATTTAAGCCCCTAAATGTTAAAAACACATTACACATAAAGCTAGTTAACACTTAGAGAATATAGATAGGATCCTTTAAGTCAAATGGTCAAACCGACTGATATACCAGTAATACTATTGATGTGTATACTTACTATCATATCTTAATATGTATAATTTGTATGATTAAATAACAGAACTCTATCATTCTGGACACAGTAACCTTGTAATACAACAAGACTGGAAACAATTAGAGCTTAGAAAGAGCACAAGAAATAGAAGTGGGGGAATAAAACAATTGTTAGAAACAAAAAAAAGATAAATGGAAACAGGAGGAGAGAGTCGGGAATAGAGGATTATCTAATGTTAGCAACAGTCTATAGACAGATTTCACAAGGCAAACAAAAAGGAAAGAAAGTTAGTATGTTTTCACCTATCACTGCAGCAGCAGAGGTGGTAAAAGCAGGGAAGCTACTGGAAAACATAAACTGACTGGTGCATGAACTGAGTGCACTATGAATGATTATAAGGCACCGCAGCAGGATCAACATGAAGCAGATGAGTTTCCCATGATCTACATCCTGATTTAATCTGGACATCCAGCATCATCATGATGCAGTATGATTGAATATCAAATATCCCTGCTTCTGTCCAAGCGTTCGTTCACACCATCAGTGTCACATTATGGGATCATTTCAACACAATTTGTCTCACAACTTGCTCTTGGACATTTGGGAATTACGCATTCACTTTGGGCAATTTTACATTCATGAGGACAAATAACAAAAACAAAAACAGACACTGATCTTAGGGTTAAATAACAGTAGCTATGGAACTCTTATTTTCCAAGTCGTGGTCAGTGATATTCTGTTAGTCGTTAGTTTTTTAGCTGTTGTTACGCTAAAAGAAAAAGTTGAAACCTTTATAAAGATGTGAAGACAAAAGTGGGTCTTATTCTATTCTGTCTTGCTGGATAGATGAGCTTTGTTATACTTACTTATACTAAAATTCCATAATGCCATTACAATGCAATGCAAACTGGCTTTTCTTGCAACACAAATGACCACTGTGATATATAACAACATAGGCAAATAGACAGATTAAAAAGATTTCCGGTATGCATTTTCTAAAATCCAACTTAGCACCTCACGCAGACACGTCTTTTTTGTGTACATATTTCCCCTGAAATAGTTCTTTCTTATATCAATTAACTATCAAAATGTTCACGTCCTAGCATGCTGTTGTCAGCTGGAATATTTTGTTGAAATGCTTCACACAGCAGCTTCAGCTCACCATGAGAGCTGGTTGATGCTCACAGTGACAAAACGCTGCCATCAAGATCTTTAGTCAGCCTGTCAGAAAACAATGCTGTGACTGAACATCAGCACATTATTTGTGATTCTATTATTTATGCTTCGATAAATGCTGCTTTTTTGTGCTTTGATTGATTCATTATCACTGATATTGAATTTAATAACGGGAGTGATGGAATGTAAACTGTTACTTGTCAATTTATCAGTTTAACAGTTTAGTTTGCATCAAAAGAGAAACACATTTGACAGCATACACTGATTGAAAAATATACTATGTATCATTGTTTATCATAGTTAATCATTTGTAAAAATTGTACTATTATTAGAAACCACAGCTTCTTTTAAATGTAAAATAATTAAATCCCTGTTATCTCACATTACATTTGCTTGTTTTAGACTTGAGAGGAGAACAAAATCAATTAAATCAAGGTAACTCACGATTACGCTTGCCCTCCTCGTCCCCCTCCTCCTCATTCTCTGGGTCGATGTCCTCAGCTTGAGTGATCCAGTCCAAGTAGCCCTTCAGGTCTTCTTCTAACTGCTGCTTTTCACGCAGCTTCTGGAAATCACCTCGAGCCTTGGCCTTTTCTCGCTCTTTGGAAAACTCTCTACGGAGACAACAGCATACTCGAGTCAATTAATGCATCACCCATAAAATCACCACAGTTACATCTTTCCCTTTACTGCCATTCCTTTAGAAAACTTTGAAACACTATCTTTTTTTAATTAATATGTCTGATTATGTCAAAATGTACATCTCTTACGATGCACTTTGATTTGCTATTTAGAGATTCACTATGTTAGTGATTTTACAACAACAAATATCATTGAATTCCATACGCATACAGAAAACTTACCCACTCAACACACCCAAAACCAGATTAAGAACAAAAAAGGATCCAAAGATGACCAGACTGACAAAGTAGATCCATGGCAGCTCAAAGCCCATGGCATCGTTCATCTACATGGAAAAACAAACAACAAAGAAAAAAAAAACAATAGTTGAAAGTTGTGTTAGGAAAAAGACACTTGAGTCAAAGTGCAGATGCTCAATCTACCATCTTCATCTTTAAAACAATAACTTCTATCCCTATGTGTCATGCACACATGCTTCTGTAACAAGAATTTGTAATCTTTGTTTCACTTTATATCCTAACAAACCTTTATTTCTGTTGTGTTACATTTGGGGTTTTCTATGTGACATAGGAAGAATTAGTAAACAGATATTCAAGAATAACCTCAACAAATCTACTAAAACTGAATGAAGGATTCTGGCCACTAGAGGGAGGCATTTGAGAAATCACCATGTTAATCATGAGTAAGAGGAAGTTAGAACTGGGGGCAATAATTGGATTGCTTGACTAAAGATCATAAACTGAAAATGACCATTTCATGTAGTTTCTTCACTATATCAATACGTTTACGGTTCTAGTTCTCTGCTCATATCCAATCAATTTAGCATTTTTGTTGTAATTCCCCCTCAGGTCTCAGCACAATACCCACCATCCACACCACATGAATTAAAAAAGAAACCCCAGGTCAAATTCAGTTTATATTCATATTTATATCCATGTATTATCTTTTTTTTTATCATTTAGGTTCCTCCAACTTCTTCCACCATTGTAAATGCAGAATTAGCATTAGCATGGGATTGCCATGGTAACACATTCATGGGAAAGAGCAGAACAGAGTGTGTGAGGGACAGAGGAAGTCTGAGAGGACAGGAGAGAAGGAGGGAGAGAGGTGAGTTATTTCATAGATGAGGGTCTCCGTCATTGACAGGCTGTGGGTGGGCTGTGAGATTCTCAATGCTGAGTGTGGTGCTGATTAAAAGCTGTGGCTGTTTTTTGTTTGTTTTTGTTTTGTTATGTTTTTGTTTTGTTTTTTGCTTAAGGGTTTTCAAGTGACCTCAGCTTTTCAGATGTAAAACCCTAGTCATCTATCATTTCAAGCAAGAGTTCTCAGTGTTATAACTTATTTCAAAGAGAATAGAAAGGTGTATTAGCAATGACAGAGAAGCATAAGGAATCCTATAAGATAAAGATCTCTGAGAGCATATTTGAACATAGCTGTGGCAGAGAACCAAAAGGGTACTTTTTTTTTTTTTAAAGGATCTTGTAGATAGCTGATATTTACTGAATCAACTGTTTCTGAAGGAAAGCAGATTTTTATCTTACGTTTTTTTCTTTTGTGTTGCAAGGAAGACAAAAGATTGTAATCATCTCTTTGACAAAAGAACTTTCAGTAAAATCAGACAGAATAATTATAATAATTCAGAGGATATTTTTTTAAATGACAGTTAAACGGGTATTTTTAATCACAATATACATGACAAGTTTTCTGACCGATGCAGGATCACAAAAGACATGCCTCAAATCATGAGGCTGTTCATAATAGGCCTGAGTTTTAACCGGAGAACACACACAAAGGTGCGAGGTCTATCCAACTGAACTACTGAGAGTGTTGCAGAATATCAAAGGACTGTGTGAGATGTTTCAACTTCACCGTCTCTGCATGGTACTGCTGGATGACGGGATCAAGTAAAGAGCAAAAGCTTTGCTGCCAAGACTTTTTTCCATTTGGCTTTGTGATTTAAAGCATATTTCCAAGATTGTGCCTTGCTATCAGGTTTCAAACAATATCATCATTAAATCGGAAGTAATGAAATGTTTCAGGCCATTATGTTTGCTATGTTAATTCTGATGACTCCATCCCTTTTGTTGTATCCTCTGTTTGCCATTTCAGACATCATTTATCAAGCTCATTAGGCACCTTTAATAAAAAATCTATACAAAGTCCAATATTTAGTAGATAAAATAATCAATCAATCAAACTATTTTCTGTCAGATATCAGTTAATCTATTTACTTGTGAAGGATCTCTAGTGCTTGATTTCTGTTTGAGCTTTCCAGTTGGACTGAGGTATAATCCAGTTGGTTTTTCTGTGCTCAGCTATGGGATATTTTGAGCCCTGGACCACTGGTGCCACTTAGAAGCTGAGTGTACATACTGTAATTATGGCTTTTCCTCCTGGGAACTAAAGTCTCTTCATTCGTTATCATGACTATTTTAATGGAATAGCGTTTTTTAATGTTTTCAAGACCCAGTTTGTATTTTAAACTGTTTACGGTGAACTGGACTGGATATAAAATTATTTCTAACTTTAGTACACTACTTATAACAACTTAGCATCAGTAATTGGAAACTTGAGTGACAATATAGTGTCATATTATCTAAAATAAGAAAGCGAATGGTAGATATGCAACTTCAATATCACTCATTTTCACATTATACATTTTTTTGTTCCTAATTACATTAAAGAGCTTTCATTTTTCAATTTACTGAATATCTAATTAAAGAAACACCACATGAGACTTTTTTTATACACACCAGTAAAATAGACTTTTGTCGAAAAGATGGATGTATATTAGCACATTACCCAGTAGAGAACATCGGTCCAGCCTTCCATGGTGATGCACTGAAACACGGTGAGCATGGCAAACAGAAAATTATCAAAATTGGTGATGCCATTGTTGGGGCCTTGCCATCCCTCTCGACAAACTGTCCCGTTGAAAATGCAGTGTCGACCATGCCCTGATACTGCACATGGTGTTGGCTCTTCTTCTGCAAGAGCGCCTGAAAGTACAGAGAAAAACAGATGATTCTGAGGAGGTCCAACACTTACATCAGTCAATAAAAAAAGGTAAAAAGACATTTAAAAGAATCACACCATATGTTTGAGTGATGTTTCGTGAAAGTGTTTTTCCTGTTGAGAGTTATGAATTCCTCACTAAAAAATCCCATAAAGAGCACAAATAACATCCATCTTGAGTTATTTTGGGCACCCACATTTTACCTTTATTGAGACAAAATGGCTAAACCAAAGTGGGGCAAAATGCTGCAAATGGAAGAAAAATCAGGCATGAAAAAAAGATGAATCTGGTCTTTTGTTTTATTCAAGGTACACAAGGTATTGATGACATGATGTGAGGCATACATGTCTACAAGCAAATCGGTGTCAGCAAAGGATGGCTCATCAACTGGTGGCAGCCACAACAGGAGCTATTTGATAGTTACCATGAGGCCAGCAGTGCCTCAGGTAAAGGGGGGCTAGTTCAATAGACACAAGCCTTGAATGATGCAGACATAATAAGATGTGGTAACACACACACACAAACAAAAACAAAAGAAAATTGCTTGAACAATAACAAAAAGTGCATACAAGGATTGAAGTTCATTTATACTCTCTTAAATCACAAATGTGACTTTCTTTTCCCTTTTTGCCTGTATACAATCAAAAGGGAGTGGAATACAACTGCTCTGTTGCCATGACACAGCAGTATAGCTCCAGAGACTTAAGCTGCTTTGTGTCTGTGCTTCTTTGTGTCAGTCATTTATTTTAAAATGTACATGCGACTTTACATATCTGTGCGAATATATGCTCATCAGCTTAGTCTTACTTATTGAATAATTCTTATATTTTCAAAGCAATGCAAGGGTAAAGGTTAGGCGTGTTTACATAATAGCTAGATATTAGTCATTTAATCACTGGACTTAATCCACCATCTGTTGTTCTGTTCCGTTTTCAGCAGCTTGTCATCATTCAGATACAAGGTGCATGTGTTCATTCATTCCCTGGGATTAAACCCTCTATCTACGCTAAGCTGGCATGTACAGTATGTCTGTTATGACTGTAGGCTGTCATTAGGACTCAGCTATTAAAAGGGTTTAAACTGAAATCTGAAACTGAAAGGAAACTCTGCTTTACCTGTGTGCATCACGTAGCATGTGGCATGCATTTTTCCAATGAAGAGCTCCAGGCCAATGATGGCGTAGATGATAATTACAAAGAGGACCAGCAGGGCGATGTGGAGCAGGGGAACCATGGCTTTAATAATGGAGTTTAAAACCACCTGTAAACCTGTGTACAAAAGGAATGAATGAAAACAGAAATAAGGAACAAGAGAAAAAAAGAAAATTCTCTTTTGTAAAAAAAATAATGAAAGGAAACAGTCAAAATTGGACTTTACATAATGCTAATTTTGTAAGTGAAATAGCAAAATCAGAATGCAATGGCAGAATCCAGTAAGAACAAAGTACAAGTCAATTCTCGTGTTTTTTCTTCTTCTGTCTTGTAACAAGCACAGGCTGCACTGAAAAAAGACTGTGTAACTACTCATCACTCTTTACTGATTGAACCAAAAATTGATTAAAAAAAAGAAGAAGAGGAATTATTTTGGTTGGACATGCCAATGTACCATCCTGGATGATAAAGAGCACCAGACTCCACCCAACAGACGTTATTCACATTTCTTGAGAGGTGGCTTCCCATGTCACGTTTTGATTGGTGATGGCATGCTGCCTCTGGCTGTGTTGCAAAAGGTAACTCATTGTCAACATGATAGCTGTGAAAGTGATGACAGCTAATTCTAGAAGTGTCATCGCAGCATTAAATAAATTAAAGAATTGTCCACAACACAACTCTTTCTGATGTTGCTGTTTTCAGACAGCCTTGAAATGATGAAATACTAATTATTTGTATTGGGCTCAAGCACAAATGAGCTTTGGAATGGAGTGAGATTTGCCTGCAACAACTCACTGGGAACTCCAGAAACAAGGCGAAGGGGTCGTAGCACGCGAAAGGCTCGGAGGGCCTTGACATCAAACCCCCCAGGTTTGCCCCCGGACTGGCTGCCCGAGTCAGCATCTTTGGTTATCATCTCAAGAACCACACTGAACAACCTACAGATGAGCGAGCAGAATGGGCAGGAGATGGGGGGGACAAAAAAAAGGAAAGAGAAAAGCAGCAATGGGAGAGAGGAGAGAAAAGAGCAGTGATGACCTTGTCAGGAAAACAGGAAAAAAAAAGAGTGAAATCCAAGAACAAAGCTGGGTGTTCTCTTTGTACTCTTCTCTCTGGCCGTGCAACTGTGTACAGATGTGAAAGCATATAAGTGGGGTTTACCGTAGGAGTGCGTCATTTCTGTCTGAGCATATTTACCTTCAGTTTTTTCACACCTCACCACAGTTTACATTGAGGTCCCACAGGAGCCAGGTGGTCCTCTGATAAACCATCGGCCTGTATAATAGCATGTGCGTGCGTGCATGGGAGCACGTCTGTGAATATTCCCAAGCATGGCTGCCACCGTGTAGCTGGACATGCAAATCGTTTATACGATAAACTTGGAGATGGAGATCAGTGATGTGCTGGTAAATGCTGAGTTTAGCCTTATAAATTGCACGCATGTGTATTATTGTGAGTTTTTTGGTTAATAGATAAATAAATAAGAGATAAAGCGCATTGTTATTTGAGCTTTGTGCAAATAATTTGATATGAACTCACCCCACTATGACGATGACGAAGTCCAACATGTTCCAGCCGTTTCTGACATAGGAGTTCTGGTGCATGACCAAGCCATAGGCAATAATCTTCAGAAATGTCTCTATTGTGAAAATGATCAGGAAGGCATATTCTACTTTTTCCTGCAATGAGTGAAGGAATTCAAGGGAAATCCACACAAAGGTAAGGGAGAGAAGAAAGGGACAGAAAGAGAAAAAAATTCAGTTGATTAAATAATACAACGTTGTAGGTAAAAAAAGATAAATAAAAGATAAACCAGTCCTTTAGTCAAAGCACAACAGCGACATGACTCATCCGATTTCATAAAAAACAATGTGTCAAAAAATGGCAAAGTCACAATGCAATTCTTACTATGGTCTAAGTTAAACCAAAGTTTCTGGGGAAATTCATTTGTGCCTAGAAATCTAAATAATTTATTAATGCTCTCTCATTTCCTAATAATCGCAGAGCAGAAAAACACTGACCATGATGCAGTAAATACATATATTTTGGGTTCCAAAATACAATCCCTTCAGCCATACTTCCTGTCCTGCTGCATCTTCATCATCGTCATCGTGTTTCCATGGTAACTAGGCTCCTGAATTTGGATATTTTCCCACACATATTTATTGTGATTACACATTATCTGACTTTCTCACTCAATGGATTTTAATTCTTCTTCCTTTTCCCTCTTCCTGCATCGCCCACAAACTGTCTGTTTCTCTTTTTTTCTCTTTTTCTCTCCGTATTTTCAACTCAACAAGCTAAAGGTTGGTGATTCAACAGGTTTTAAGCCCCATTAAGCAAAGCACCTCTACTGTTGATTTACAGACCATATAAGCACTAGTTTGAACAACAGGCACAAGCAAATCCAACCACTGAAAGTTACCGAAGACACCAGTAACATTCACACTCAGACTTCACACCCACACCCGCTTGCATAGATTCAAAGTACACCTCTGACACTCAGCCAGCAACCTGGCAGGTAGACTAATAGAAGGTTTGGAGATGAATAAAGTATTATATTAAATTAGATGACTCCACAGAGCCTCCTAAACAAAAATATTAACAGCCTAAAAACATGTGAAATCCCTCTCATTTGTTATAAACCTAATTTAAATGTACATTTCAGCAGGTGTTTAAATGCAGATTTTTCCTTTTTTCAACTGCTGAAAAGTCATCGATGTGTGTTTCCCTGAATTAAAGATGCTGAAGACGCACAGCACTTAGCCGATGGTTGCTACTCTGCAGCAGCAGCTTGGAAAGATTAGATCTCTCAAGATGGCTAATTTCAGTTTAATTTAATGACTTGTGTGATTTTGTTCTCTTTGTTCTTTTTTTGTCAGATGCCAAAAAGAAATTGTTATATAAACTGAAGGACAATAAAGATGTCGCATTGTGACTCATCTTATGAACACTGTAATTACTTCTCCACACGGATAAATACAATTCAATGAATAAGCTCACCCTGACAAAACCCTTTAATCCTGCTATCTTTCTTATTCAACAGTTCATCTGCTAAACCTCTAAAGGAACCATGTCATATTTACACAGCTTAGGAATTTACATTATAATGAAGAAGGGGAAATGTTGTGCCAATGTCAATTCTTCTGTCCCCCTTCCTGGTTCATATGGGTTTGCATAGAACAGTTCTAGTGGCAGTGTAGTGTAATGGTTACCAAAATACACATGACATGACATATTGCATAATGAATATTAAAGCCCTAGTTCTTCCAATACCCTGTGGGATTCCTGAAAAGTTCAGAGTGACAGAAATATGTGTTTCAAGTCTGAGGCTTCATCATTGAGTGCTTTGTCAAAACTGGGGTGGGGAGTAAAGATGCTGTTGTAATCAGTCGTGCTTTATGTAAACGACTTCCAAAAAGGAAGGAGTCCCACTGCTTCTGTTTCCTGTGTCTGAGCCTGGTGAAGATCACTCCTTTTGTGCCTGTAGCAGGAATACTGTTGCCATGGACACCAGGCTTGTCTCATGTGTGGGCAGAGAATAAGACTTGAAGCAGTCATGTAAAGGAAATTCAAGAAAAGTGCCCCTGGCACAGCATACTGGTACACATGAAGGCGAGGTTCCAAGGAAGCACATGTGTACCACGGAACATGAACATTCGTGTCAGGTCATGTCAGCCTGGTACTTTTTATTTATTATTCTTGTCCTGAAAACTTCATAAAACAATTATGCTGCACGTTTGCACTTAACACATATTCATTAACTTGCCAGCTCTTAAAGAACACAAACTGAACAGAAGGCATCTGAAAAGTCATTGCCTTTTTCTGTACCATATTTCTACAATTTTAAAAGTTAGTTTTCATTAAAAAAAACAAAAACATGGCACTGTTTTTTAATTGACAAGTGTAAACCTCAGTTAAAATCTTAGGGGGGGATAAAGAAATTCTACAAACATTTCCACAGTGCATCCAAATTTTCTTACAGAGGTCATCCAGATTCTGAAAAGGAAAGATCTTAATTAATTTGCGGAGGAGAAGCTTGATTTGTAAGCTCCAAAAATCCTCTGTTTTGGAAGCAGGACAAGAAATTTGGGTTGCTTGAGCTGAAGCCAAAAGAGCTGAGAGTTTCTGTAGTAAGGATGAACAAAATGTTCTGGTTGTCAATTATAGATTCAAAAAAATAGGGTCAAAATTTTTTTTTTTTTTTTTTTGCAGAAAGTTTTGATAACTGACTGGACAGCTAAATGGGAAGAGGTAGAATATTATGCAATTTAAAATGATCTGATCCATTTGAGGTGACATATGGCAAAGCGAGGGGGAACTATCCTGACATTGCATCTTAGCTTTAAAATTGCTGAACACACCATTTTAGTTTTGTATAACTTTGTAAGTGGAAAAACGTAGGAGCTAAAAAAAAATGTAAATTCCTACGCTCAAATCAAACTGATCGGCCGAGATCTCAAATTTAACACTGAAACGAAGTTGCAAGAGTTGTTACAGCTTTGAAAAGATATCCCTCTATGTGATCTGCTGCGTTAAAGAGTCAGAATATATCTACATCAATTTCTGTGTGACTGTGTGATGACTCAGCATAAAGCTGTGTTGCTTCAGCGTTTTCCCTCACAGAATAATTATCCTGAATGGATTTAATTAAGTTTTGATTTCATTATACACTGCGCAAAACATAGCTTTCCATGGTGAGTCGGCGTCGTTAAACTCTGCGTCTCAACATCAAAACCAATTGATCATTTCTGAATGAGGTTACCGGTATAATCTCGAGAAAGTGTGTTTCCTATCACAGTGTAATTATTGGTTTGCAAAAAACAGGTTATTTCAAACATATAAAGCCTACAGACTGTAACAGGAGTTCCTCCCTTTGTAAGAAAAATTGACTTCATGTTCTTCATGAAACTGTCATTTAGCAAGAAGCAGACCTATACCCTAACTCTGGTACAGGGGGATCACAAACCAAAGAGCAAAAGTTCAGAGTGGAGGCACAAGATTTAACCTGCACAGAAACTGTCAAAATTAGATAATCAAATCATTTTACATGTCCGTCACAAACCTGGGAAAGGCTTGATGATATTACAAGCAAAACTGTGTGGATTGTCTTCATGGAGGTTCAAGTAATAGCATAATTTTTGTAAAAACAACTCTGTGCAAACAGCTGACAGATGGGTTTTCATCTCGCCTACACATGCACTCTACAATAGAAGCATCAAGCAGCTTAGGGTCTCGAATCAAACTTGTAAAGTGCAATTTAAAGAGCACAGAGTTAGAAAAATATAGAGATAAAGCAGTTTCCTGTACAGGTGGGACAGTCTCATGCCCCTGTCCATGACACTGAAATTACCGGTTTGCTCAGGATATAAGCAAGATTTGAAAGGTCACTTTACCGATGTTAACAAGCACTTTTGCAGCTTGGATGATGTGGAACAGCACAATTGTGAAGTCCAATGTAAATTTTTCGTCAAGAAAGCAACAAAAAATGAGGGGTTATGAAATAAAACAGTGTTGCACCCCAACCGAAAAGGAAAAAGAATTATGTTAAACATGAGAAAGGAACGAAAGCCTGAAACATCCTGACACTTCATCCTAAAAGTATAAAAATTTGCCTCTCGTTTTTTCATGAATAGATATAATGGGAAAATAATGTAGAATGGAATAGAGCTGGAAAGAAAATGCAAGTTATTCAAAAAGTCATAAAAAGAAAAAAAAAGTGTTCCTGACCTCTGAACTGGGGGGAAAAAGCATGTCTGAGTTTATAATTATTTTGATGTCCTTCCACAACAAAACTGCACTGAATATGGAGATATAAGGAACATTGTACAATAGTTTACACTGCAGACAGTGGGCTAATTAGGACTAAGGCTATGAGATAGTAAAACCATTAGAAAAGAAACTGATAGCACCAGTGGTGAATCGGCTGTACTCTGCAAGTTGCACATTATGTTGCGTGAATCTTTGCAGTTATATTAACAAGTAAATTTTTTTTTGCACACTTCACACATGAGCAACTAATTAATAGTCCGAAAGAAATGCTATCTGCTTGACTCATCTCAACTACACATTCCATAATACTGCTGTGAGCATGTGCACTTACGCATTACTTACACATCAGCGTTGCATTAAGAAATCTACAACAAAAAAAATCTACAAATGAAAAACTGCTTGTAACAGGGACGAAGGCAGCATTGTCAAAATGAGTATCTGAGCATGCACAAATATTTAAATTGTTTGTATTTTGTGAAAACTTTAAGCATCACTCTGTCTCGATGCTGGTGTACTATCAGCCGAAAGGAAAAAAGAAGCTGGGCCTTGTTCACTTCTCCTAAATTGTTCTAAGTCGTCACTCTTTGCAGAGGTTTAGAGGCTGCTATTAAGCTTCAGCTGTAATTTAATGAACGGAAAGTAAGGTTAATGTTAGAACTGGAAAAACCCTAGACATTTTAGCTCTTATTTGTATTTTCACCATTTGAGAATTAAATGGGACTTCTACACATCGGGGGTCATATTTTTATTATTCTAAATAATGGAATTAATGGAATTCCACGAAAAATAATCTATTCGTGAGCAAAATGGGTGCAAAATAGGTTTAAGGAGAGGAAACTGGGCTGGATGGCACTTGTGAGAAAACAATAATCAAACAATGCATATTTCTTCATTTTACAAATAATCCAGGGATTATTACAGTATTACACTGAACAGTGAGAGACACAAATCCAGTCACCCAGTTAAATAAGTCTGCATGTAATCTGTCTGAACTAAGCTATCAGCAGA